GTGCATCCGCCTTGTCTGTCTGTGTGTGCTGCCCTGATACAGAACCAGAATGGAAGAAAGACAAGTAGTATTACTTGGTAAGTTGGAAGTCGCACAATCAAGGAATCTACCGACACCCCCTCCTCCCGCGCTCGATATAGCCCATCCTATCATGGTAAGTGACGTCTATTCTGAGGTTGGGGAGGAGGGCTTGAAGGTGTGGTAACGACAGAAGTTGTGGCTGGATGTGGCATCGAATGAGAGCACACGGACTGGCGCCGACATGCCAGTGTCAGTGTCAGAATATCAAACCTCCTTCCACCCCCCCTTTCACGAGCTGTCATGACGAGAGGCGAGCGGGCAATGTGGCAGGTGTCAAATTCCCGAGAAGAAAGATGGAGTTATAATAGTCATAATAATATTATATATATAAAAAAAAGGCGTGGAAGCAGGGTGAGGGCTCGCTGGAGGGTCCGTGTTTCATCATGGCTTAACCGACCCAGAGACTCGGAAGCGATGGATCACGATGGAAGATTGGTACTGGTAGAGTGTTAGTGTTATTGCGAATGGTTGGCAGGGTTTCCTTCTTCGGTGATTTTGCCAACCGAGCCACATTCTATTTTCTTTTGCGGCTCGGCTCAATTGATTTTTTCCTTCCTACTCTGTTTTTTTCTCGGTCTTGTTTCGCCCTCGTCTAGAGTTTCGTGATGTGCTGTCAAGGTGGGATCGCATTCGCATCAGTGATGCGGACACGGGCGGTGTTGATCTTTGATCTCATGTTCGAGGAGCAATGGAAGTATACGAAGCATGCTCAGTACTTCGTCCTCATCCTTGTTGCAGCACTTCGGATTAGGCTCAATCCAACTCTGTCTGATCCAGGACAATTTGGAACATTGGGAACCTGAACTGTCAACATGACTGAGCCGCTAAAATAATCTAGCGAGAAACTGACAGTTGAATCCAGAACCGACCAGACTTGTCGAGTGTCATTCATTGTTGGCAGTTGGGGGACAGCGACAGACAGAGACCGTTGCCGACTGACAGGTTGTGATCTCACCGTCTCATCTGGCTGTCAGTGTCAGAATCAACGTTGACTGTTGGTGTCAGTGTCAGGTCAGTCCTGGAGCTGTCGATGTCGGTTTTGCTCATTGTTGTCGGTCGGTGTCAGTTGGATCCAGGCAGAAAGGCAGAAAGGCAGAAAGGCAGAATGTTTAATAGAACGTCACCTCGACAGGATATCATCACCTCAGATTGACTGCACTGATTGATGCAGACTTGTCTTGTAGCTTCAATTTCGTCTCACTCTTCGTTTAACCTTAACTCTCAACCACATCCACATCCGCCTCGACTGTGGCACTCACTCACGCGGCTGCCCCATTTCCCATTCCGGATCCTTCTGCATCCCACCTCGCCTCTCCTCTCGACGTGGCTGTTTCCTAATTCAACCTCGTGCTACCTGCGTAGAAACATTCTGATATAGCTTGCTCATCTTGATATGCACCAAGTTCTCTCCATGTCGTTACCCCGCTTAAACTTGAGACACTGTTGCTGCAGGCCAAAAGCCGCACCCAGAACCAGACTTGCACTTTCACTTACACTTGACCACACCTCCATCTACACCATCTACACCATGGCCTCGACCCAACCTCGTCTCAACCACAGATCAAAAGCCACAACCCTTCGACACGGCATGACGATAACGCCGCATCGACAAGAAGAGAAGTACCCATCGAAGAACATGAGACGCTTTCCCCGCTTCTTCACCCCAACTTTTTTTTTCGGTCCTTTATTTTGTCTTCTCCAGTCCCAACCTCTTTCAGCCAACCAGCGAGCTGAACCAGAAAAACGAAACCAGCCATCCATCCATCATCCATTTTGATCCCTCCAACGCTGTCCATGCGACTCAAAACCTAAAACAAATCCCCGCAGATCCAGTTCGTTGTTCGTTCTTCGCTTGATCGTCTTGGCTGCTCAACTTTTGTGCCATTCGCACCCCCCCCCCCCCCCCCCCTTTTTTCCCCCCACAGCAACAAGTCGATACAATCACCCTTCCATCTCTGATCGACCACTCTTCCCCAGATATCGGGTCGTGATGCCGCTACCGCCGCTCATCCCCCATGCATCTCATGTCCCCCATCTCTTATACCCCATTCCAGCTACTATAGCCTATGCCCCATTACTATCCATGCCCATGTCAACGTCCATGCCGCACGCAGATCGACTTTGCTTTAAGCATCTCGCCCATGCTTCCTGTTCCCCAATGTAACGAGAAACACCTTTGATCCTCCAGCACAAAACCTTGATGCCGTTTTGAGGCTCTTAACAGAACGTGTTATTTACCCCGCACATAGCATCGCTGCTACCACGGCAAGGGCACCACGAGGCATTCCAACTCCGCTTCATGCCGTCTTCCAGCCTCATTCATGGATGGCGGGACCCTTAAACAAACCCTAACCTTGTCCACCCCCATACTCTAACTACTCATCTCGATCTAGGGTCTCTGTCTCCTCTCCACCAACGGCTTAACAACCTTCTACTAAAGTCCCCAAGTCCCGGATGAGCCCCGCATCCAGAACTCATGACACTGACAACAACCGAACAAAAGCTCTTCTTGTTTTACCAGGGTCCTCGTTGACGCGGCTGCCCGTCCCCGTCCCCGTCCCCTCTTCCGCCCTTCCCTTCTTCTCTCACCTAAGTCCGAGACAACTGAGAGACGGGAGAGGGGCGGCCGTTTACCTGCATGCTGGACTCTTTTCGTTCTCTCAGCCGCCTTTTTCCTGTAGACAACCACCCACCCACACACACATACACTTTACTCTAAAACCCCCAACCCCCCCGCGCAACCCCTCAGGTGTGCGCCGTGGGTTTGAACTTTAGGTGCTCCCAAATCTATCTCGCGCAGTTATAGAGGGTGTGTGTATGCTGTATATGCCCGAGCGTTGCTGCAGTGGTCGGTGTCTTTTTTGGAAATCTGGTTTCTACTGCCTGGAGAGGAGAAGAGCATGAAACACCGCTACTTGCTCGGGCATTTTTGTCTGTTCTTTTCTATGAACCGGATCTTCGTTTTATGCCATTGATCGCAACGAGCAAAAGTGGCCGACATGAGATGCGCAAAAGGGCTTATGGATGCTGTGTGGTGCGGGGGGGGGGGGGGGGGGGGGGGGGGGGGGGGGGGCGTGCGTTGAGCAGGCTTCTCTGTAGACTTCCCCGGGTTTTGGTCCGTTGATGTGCTGGCCTTCTCCACGCGGGATTCTGCTTCAGGAAGAGGGGGAGAAAAGGGCTTTCTTCCTGTTTGAAGCTTCTTTTTCCTTACCGGTGGATCAACCGACCGGCTGACCTGAATCTAACATCCCAGCCCCAGCATTCCCCAGGAAATTTTATCAAAATTTCCCTTTGACTAGCCGCCCACATCATTATTATCCGGATCCTCCTCTGGCTTTCCAGAGTATTGTCCTCGGAGTGAGCGATGTAAGGGACCGGATGGGATTTCACCTGCCCGAGCAGCCCGAGTAGGGGGAAAACCTGGGAGGAGGAAAAAAAAGCCCTCAGAGTGGACGAGATGCGCCGGTCTATTGCACCACTCACACCGGCACCTTGCTCCTCCGGGTTAGAGATTCCGTCGTTCCACTTCTAGGCGACAGAGTTTCCCCGGTATCGCAGAACCAGCCCTTTTTTACCTGGAAAACCAGTTCCCGCTTGCTGGACTGGAGCTGCAAATCTCGAGCTGCCCCGGCTTCGGATTGCCCCATCGAGGCTAGTTGAACTGTTCACAAACCCGGACACTCGTGGAAAGATGGGCACGGCAATTTCACGAAATATCGCCAGCCGGGTGCGTGCCGCCAAGATGGGCTTGGCTATTCCGTTTTGCTACCCAGGTTTCGAGGAATACTAGAGGTTTTCCTGCAGTCTACGAGATGCTAATGCAGGTCCATGGTTTTCCCTGTGAGTGGGAATTTTTCCATTCCTCTTTGCTAGTTGCCGAGTCGTGTGGTACTGCCTTCGTATGAAATCCTAGATGGAATTTCCAGGAGCCGGTTCATGGCCGCGCTCAACGGGATTGGGATCGTAAGCCCTTTGAGGATTGGATTCTAGCGCTCCTTTGCTCTATCCTCTCTCCGAGATCGAAATGATAGATCCGTAGTTTGTTCAAAAGTAATCCTTTCGAAGACGTCAATAGCCTTTGTGATGTCCCTCGTCGTGCCACCACTAGATAAACGTCTTGCTTGTGAGGATGGGCAATAGCAGAGTGAGGCCGAAGTAAACTCCAAATAGCGACAAGAGTAGTAGAAGGAGTATATTCTCCGTGCTGTCTAGCACCCCAATATCAAGCGTGCTACAAGAACTCGTTAGACATGATGGTTGCGCCGAGTCTCGGTCCTCCAACATAGAATAACGGCTCAGCCCAAGGGGAGAAGAAGCATCCTCTACGACGCCTCGTAGTTCCCAATCATGTCTCACTGCCTCACGAACATAGCCTATGAGGTATATTCTAGGTATCTCTTACTCATTCCTCACCCGTACTAGCCATTCCCAAATTCTCCAACGACCCATCTGATCCAGCTAAGTCCTATGTCCAACGCGCTCGCTTGTAGTTGGCTGGCATGGCAAAGTTGAACTTGGTTTCGATCGAACGTTAAACTTCTCTTCCCTTTCTTTCCTCGATCAAAGCTGCTATATCCCAACTTGAAGAGACTATCAAGTATATCTATGCCCCAGCTCCTTCAAGTATTACCTAGAGCTAGTCAAGACCAGTCATATATCTATGGACTCACCACCGACCATGTAACGTAGAACGCCCCGGTCCACACCATCGTCTTGCCGTGCCACAAACGATGCATACGAAATGCTCTATTCATCTACCACGCGCGGGTATTTCCCATTTACATCGAAAAATGCCGTCCCTCCACCCACAAACAAAAACATTAAACAATAAAGAATATGATAAACACACACATGAAGAACAAAACACACAAAAGAAAAGACCAAAAAATGAATACAAGTCCATACCCGCATCCACCCACCTAATCACTACTCGTACTAAAGTAGTAATTCTCCCAAAGATACTCATAATCCTCCAAAATCCCTCCCAAAACCCCAGGAACCCTCCTCCTAACCCCCTGCACAACTCCCTTCACCACACTCTCGTAAAACGGCCCCCTCATAGCCCACCACCCCATCGCCCATCCCCTCCTCCTCCACTCGTCCTTCTCCAGGGGCGTCGTCCTCAGACCCTTCTCGCGCAGCTGCCTCGCCGCGTACTCGACCGCGACGCCCGCGATCCAGGGGCCCCACGCCTTCCTCCTGGCCTCGGGGGAGGAGGATCTCGAGAGGGCGAGGCAGACGGCGTAGATGAGTGGCGCGAGGATGTGTAGGACCTCGGCGGCCTGGCCCGATCCGCGGAGCTGGTTGACGAGCTTCGTCGCGGGCTTGATGTCCTCGGGTGTGAGGACCCGGGAGAGGAGGTACGTCGTGATGTCCGACGCCGTGGGGAGAGAGGGGAGGTTCATCCCCGTCCGGGGCATGGTCCACTCCTTTTCATGAGCCGACTTGCTAGAGGACATCGACGAACAGGTCCCCGTCGCACCCGTACTGCTAGCCGCATCATCCCACAGCTCACTGACGGCCGACTCACCGTCCTCCGACGCCGAATCGTCCGGCACCACGGGGTCGCGCTCGGGCAGCACAGGCGACATGATGGGTCTCGAGCTCGTGATCCGCAACAGCACCAGCCGACAAACCGCCTTGATGAATTCCAAGAGGACGACGATTCGCCACCGGGCGCGCTCTCCGCCCCGTCGCTTCGCCGCCATCTCGAGGAGGAGCTCCGTGTATCGGACCATCTGGAGCAGGAGCGCTACGCGCCGGTAGAGGGTGCTGCGTTGCGTCCAGTAGCGCGTGTAGCGCGTGTGCGGGGAGGGCGCTCGCGTGCCGGGGCCACGGGATATCGTCGCAACGGCGCGCGTGAGGAGGCTGTCGTGGTAGAGGGAGAGGAGCTGGACACCGGAGTGGAGGGTTTCGGAGGCGATTTCTGCATCGCGGAAGCGGCCTGTTTTGAGCTCCAAGTTAGCCAAGCTCAAATGGGGCCGAGAAATGGCGTAGAGGCTAAAGAGAATGAATAAATTCCGTACCCGGAATAATGTAGGTTAGTGATCGCAGCGCAGACTCAATCTGCGACACCTGCCCGGCGTTCTTGGTGATAAAGTCCTCATACATGTGAAGCAGCTTGGGAGGGGACAGGACGGTCCTGCCGCCGCCAAGCCGGCGCGAGGGCGTTGGCATTGTTGAGACCGGGATGCAGATTCGCGGTCAATTGCGTCTCGTTCGACGTCGATTCTAGAGAGAAACGGAGTGGAGGGAAGAATAGGAGGCACGGCGGGATCGATGTTGGAGATGGTCCCAGCTGATGTCACGGACGTCGTCGCCAGATTTGATGAGCCGAGGCTGGCGTGTTAGGCAAGAGCAAGGGGGTGTGTACCGTTTAAGCGCATGATCCCGCGGAACAAGTAGGTCGTTTATTTACATATATTTTCAGAATTGCATATCAAATTAAATACCTCGGTTGAGCGATATCATTGACATGCTCGACAGCCCCAGTCAACCAACCCAACTTGATCTCCAAGAAAGATGTCGAGCTTCTCGTTCGCATTATCCATATATTTTCGTAATCACATCTATCTTTACCAGAGGGTTAATGCTACAGAAATGTGAATCCCCCATGACACCGTCATTCCCCCGCTTTGCACAAATCCTGTTACTATCCTACACACGCACATTGCCTTGGGGTATACCTTTCCTATCCTTCTAAATAAATATAAACAAAGAGAAACAAGAGGCTGAAACTCAAACGCCCTAAAAATGAAGGATGCAAAGAGCGGGCTAATGGCTATAAGAAGGAAGTGAATAATAAAGAGGAGGAATCCTCCCGTCTTGTAGGCGGGGAGAAAAGCGGTCGCCGACCAACTATGCAACCGGCCTAGATAAGGGCAAATCCCGCATCGGCCAGCTCTCTCCCCGTTGGCAGAAGCGGTCTCCCCTGCAGCGGAAACGGCCAAAAGAGCGGATTATCCGAGACCGGCCTCGGCGGCGGCGGCGCCAGCATCACCTTTCCGCCGACGCTAGAAGCGCCGCCCGTCCACCCGCAGACAAAATCTTCGATTTGAACGTCGGGCGCGAAGAAGTTGAGGCTGTCAGTGCGCGGTCTGAGGAGGCCGTCGATGTCCTCGGCGGCCTCGGTCTTCTCGCGACCCATGTCAACGTCGATGTTCCACTTCTTCGCGAGGTACCGGAGGATGTTGAGGGCTTGCTGCGCGAAGTGGTGGCAGGGAGCCATCTCGGCGAGGTCGGCGATGCCCTGGCTGATCGAGTTGAAGACGCGCGGGTCGGATCGCGATGACGGTGCGGCTGCTCCGACGCCGCTCGTCTCGGGGCTAGTCTCGGGTGGATGCGTACCCTGCTGTGGAGGGGGCCCTTGGTCCGCCGATACAGGAGTGGAGGCGACGGATGGCGGAGATGCGGCGATAGCCATATGCATGATGGCTGACGTCAGGACAAAGTAAGGGACGAAGGATGGGGTGCGGCGGAGGGTGTAGAGCTGCGAGTATGACCGCAGCAAGCCTTGGATAGCATCTGCCGCCTGTGAGCAAACGTCCCGAGGTAGGACTTTGGATCCAAGGATCCTTAATTTTATGAGAGGCCGGAAGAGTAATAAGATAGCAAAGTGATAATACATGCTTTTTTTTCATGAAGCGAAAGTGTTAGCACAGAATACTCCATCTTCCTTCATCTTCTACGACCTTGCTTTTTTCCCCGTCACTTGGTTCGTTCCTCCGACGGCGGCTCGATCTCGAGAGATGTGGATATACTGATACTCACTGCGCAAAAAGGACCGCCGGCGTAAAGTTGTGGCCTAGGCGAAGAACCTCGGGGATCCGGTCATACCAATCGAGGTACTGGGTATAGATGCCCAGTAAGTCGCGGCTCGTCAACGGTCGACCCGGCGTGTGTAGGATGTACAGAGACTGGTGAACGAGCTCGCTCAACTCACAGAAGCACTTATACACCGAGCGGACATTCGATGGCTGTAGACAGGAACGCTGTAAAGGAAGCCCTGGAGTTCAGGCAGCAAAAAAAAAAAAAGTTAGCCGAACATCCCCGATATCTTCCGGTCGAGAGAGGAACTCTCCCGGCTATCAGAATAAATATCGATACATACCATCGTCAGTATACGGTATCCATAACGAAGCCTCAATGTCGTCGATAATGGCGGGTTTAGGCGGCAAATGCGGGACGCATGAGCACTGCGGCAGCGAGCCCGTGGCAAGCGACCAAGCGCTGTGTAACTCAGAAAAACAAAGGTTAGCAAAAACCGACGTGAAACTAATTCTCCTGCCAGCTTATAGGAGGAAATGTTAACAACTCCCCGCCCCCGCGGCCTCCTAAAAGAAAGAAGACTAGAAAAGGAAAAGGAAATAAAGGAGAAACAAGGGAGGACATACTGGTCCAGTGCAAAAGCGCCCCAAAACGTCGCGGCTTTCACGGCAACCTCATCGTCGTCGCCCATGCCGTCATTGAGATGCAAGCCCATCTCAATAGCGATGCGTATACTCTGGCCGGCATAGTACCAACTCTCCGAATCCCGCCCGCAGCTGGCCTCTCGGATGGACATGATACCTAATGCCTGGATCGTCGTCAGGCTCCGGTGGTCGGCCTCGAGATGGAAGAGGCGCAGCGATTCCTTGAAAAAGTGGTCGCCCGACGTGGTGGGGTCGGAGGGGTTCGCGCGCGTGTTCGGTCGCGTGGAAAAGCGGCAGCCAAGCGCTAGCAGGGCGTTTACGAGGATCGGGGAGCAATACCGCCGCGTACCGTCGTTGAAGTCCTTGTAGAAGTGCTCTTTGCTGAGCGACGCAAACGTTGGGTACTCCCAGCAAAAGTAGAGAGAGAGGAGATGCTGAACAAGGGTGAAGTCCGAGGTGATGGCGGTCCACTCTATAGCAGGGACTTTGTGCTCGGGCATATCAAGTGGGGAAAGTACCTGGTCGAGCCAGCGGTACCGGGCTTGACCGTACTCGGGTGAACCGGCTTCGGGATGCATGCCCTCAACCCAGGAGCCAACACGAGAGGACGGCTGACTTACGCCGGGAGTCCAATTCATAAGTCCTTGATGGGACTCGCTTGTGGTTGACACTCCGCTCTGTGAGTGCGAAGAAAAGTTCCACGGGCTGTGCTGCTGGGTCTGGTCAATCTCCGAGGTGCGAAGGCCGGGAAGGTGTGCCGAGGCGGGCAATGGCGGCAGGGCCGGCCCTGCAGGATGCTGCCGAGCGATGGGACTGTGTGACTGACCGGCACCGAGGGTCAATGTGGACATGGATCCCGGGCCCGAACCTGTAAAACCGACGGCTGATATGCCCCCAGGACGGCCGGTATAGGCAGGCTCAATGGGTCTAGCGAACGGGGGAACAGTGCTGCCGGGGCCCGGGGGCAGCGCGCCGCCTAGCCAGTCCGAAACGGCCTCAACGCTCTGACCGCCTCGAAGACGATTGAGTACCTCTTGCCATAGCTCAGGACGAAGAAGGGCTGTGATGACCTGGTCGCTCGCTCTCTGGCGCTGGCGTAGCTGTTCAATCTCACCTCGCAAATTCTCCTTGGATTGGCGAACAGGGATCTCGTATATACACTCGACGTTCTTTTGAGCCTTGCATCTCGCGCAGGGTTTTTGGCCGTCGCACTATAATAACGAAGCATCAAGGATAAGCAAAGTGTCAGAATATGATCAAACTAGGATTGGTGAGTGGGCAGGAGGGGCTGTGTGCAGCCATGACAAGAACGGTCTGCCAAGGTAGATTCCATGGAGAACCGGTCGCAACAAGGGAAAGCCGGGATTGGCAATGTCTGGGAAGACAAGGACACAGGGAGTGCAAAGTATTAGGGCAAAGAAGGACATCGGGAAGCAGTAGAAGACCCCGAGGAAGGAAATTCATGGCGCAGAGGGAGTATATCTATGCCTCACCTTTGCGCGCTTCTTACGACACTCAGTGCATGCATTTGGCGTCACAACCCCATGGCCCCTCCGGCGCTTGGAGAACTGTCGATTTGGATCTATAATAGCAGTGGGAGCACCACCTGGCGGCAATGATCCTGTTCCTACTGAACCTGTAACCGTGGAGGATGAGGAAGAAGACGGCGCGCCGGGCAGGGGCGGGGGGCCAGGGACACTAGAGGCTGCTGATGAGGGCCTCGATTGCAATTCCCCGACAGGACCGATGCTAGCGGCCCTTGGGGTCCTAGCCGCGGAGTGGGAGGACGGAGTGTCCTCCATTGTTGGCCGACGGCAATGGCGTTCAGAGTCTGGTTAGAACAGAGAAAACCCCCGGGATTCTATACCTTATTTCCCTCCAATATTAGCGCCGGGCCGATCAGGCGCTGTCGGGACTGGGAATTGGGTTTCGTCAGAGGGGAAAGGGTAGCTGCCGTACGGAACATGCTTAGAGAGGGCGCGGGGTCTCGGGACGGGCTAGTTGTCAATGGGAGAGGAGAGAGAGAGAGAGAGAGAGAGAGAGGGGCCAGGCCAGGCTTTCGGATGACAACAGGGGATTTCGGGTCGGGTTCGGCAAAAATGAGGGACAGAATAGGATGACACGATAGGATGATGTGAGTGAGTGACGAGAAGGCGAGCTAGAGAGATCTAAGACTGATACTGTCTTAGGGTTTGTCGTCGCGGAGATGGAAGCCGGGAAGCAATGGGCTGTTCGCGCAAAGGCAAGTGGCCAGCACGGATGCTCGGCGCAGAGGAGGTGGCAGTCTTGCAGCGCAGAAGCCAGAGTCGCGTCTCCCGAAGCTCCCTTGGGAAGGCTCTAAGTCATGTTGAGGTCAGGGCTTGGCGCGGGTTTGGGAGATCAATTGAAGGGGATAGCGAAAAGCGATCAATGGAGGGGGAAGATTCTTGGAGGTGAGGGGTCTCGAGAGTTGATCAATTGAGGAGAGCTGCAGCTAGATTGGTGGTAGAGTTGGGGAAAGGCCGTTTTCAATGTCGCGGTTTTGCGGCGGTCATGAGCGGTGCGGTGGAGGGATGGAGTGAGGGCCTTTGCCGAAGGAACTGAGGTCTCGGCGGACGGATCTTGGCAGGCGGAGGGAGGGGGAGCTTCGTTCTTCTGCGAGGTAGAGGTCTGGAGCTTGAAGAAACAGCTCGGTTACCAAAGGGCGGTGTTGTACTTTCTCTTCGCTCCGAACCGTGTCCTAAAGTTCAGCTGGTCTTCGTTGGTGCCGGGGGATGCGGGGAAAGGACAGGGGAAAGGCAGCCAGTAAGTATTGAGGAAGATGCTAGAAAAAAAAAATCAGAGAACACTTTGGATTAATATCATGGGTTCATATATGGTTGACGTTATGTTGCGCTCGACACTCTTTGGATGTCGTTGCCGCTCCAAGGCGAGCGCCACGAAGGAGAAGCAAATGAGTAAACGAGTAGATGAGTAGATGAGGTACGAGGTACGAAGCAGTACGTGCAAGACAACGTTGATAGGCGTGAGTGAGACCGCGAGACCAAAGGGGGAAGGAACGTCGACGGCACGTTTGAGCCGCGTTGGAGACTAACGCGGTGCTGCTGGGCTGAACTGTGGGAGGCAGGAACGACCAAGTGCATTAATTACTCGGTACCTTCAATTGTTTCCATTGTTGAGCAGGCGCACCACAACATGAGGCATGGACACTTGAAGGACCTCAACGCATCAGTGTTCAGTATTGCAACTCCGATCCTCTCCATCCACGTTCAAGCTTTGGGGTCAATTGATGGTTGGGCTTCTGTGGGACCCCCACCAAATCAGCACCACCGTAATCACCCTGGAGAGCGCCAGTAGTACTCACAATGCACTATCGATGTTACGTGAAGTACACTAGCGTAATAATTAATGAAGTGTCGTTGATATTGAGGGTTTGCCCAGGGCCCAAGCTCAAGATTTTTCCAAGCCCAATTGTTGGTTGAGGTTGTGGGTCTCGTTCCCAGGTATTATTGATACTTTTTGCATCTCAGGAAAGGGGCTCCAGGACTGTGTAATTACGAAATACAAATTTCAGATGCTGTTAAACAAGACCAGGACAAGTGTGGAGGAGTCACCGAATTCCCCGAGTGCTCCCAATTGGCGAAGTTACCGAAGTACATGTGCGCCTGTTGTAGTGTAGAAGTTGGTCAAAGTATCTCCCTACTTTGGCTCTTCCGCCCCTTTCCTGCACTCGCCAGGGGCTGATGTACCTCGTAGTGGGTGTCACTGGAATAAGATGTACCTTCCCAGGAACCCGGTGTGGCTAACGCCTCTTCCGCTCCAACCATTGGGCTTGATGCGAGACTGGCAGTGCGTTCTGACCATCTTCACTCACGCTTGGCTTCCGCCTTTCACGGAAACATCCGATCGATGGTGCAAATCCTCCTAAGAAATACCACGCCGCTGACCGGCTTCAATAGGGTCGTATGCTGATGTGTACAACCTTGCAACATCGCAACATTGCGGATATAGACTTGATCCCACAGGCATTCGGATATTAATTGACCGTATTGACCAAGTCGGTCAACACTCTCACCCCTATTCATTTCACCAGCCTTGTCTCGACGAGGATCTGACGGTGAGCTGGGTCATGAGCGGAGCACTGAGCAGGAATGAAGTCTCAAGATCCTTCATAGAACTATCCTTCATAGAACGATCCTTCACGCACGAGGGCACCACGAGGGCACCTATTTCCACCTCGAACCTTTTCCTCCGCCCGCATAGACCCTATCAATGCCGCACAATACCATACTCCTCAAATGCACCCTAGGAAACAGTATAATACACGATATGCGAAATGCTGCTGCTTTTTGACATCCAGAAGCTTGGCAAATATCCTTTCCATCCGTAACCCATAAACGCAACCCACCCAACTTCATGAAACTCGACCAATGTACACGGGATAATAAAACAAACAAAAAGAAATCGGAGAATAAATGAACAAATCCCCTCACACCTGAAGGGGGATTACGCCCTAGTACCGTTTACTCGGGCTCCTGCCAAACTTGACCGGACTCATGGACCTGTTCTCCTTGGTCGGACTGCGTCTGCTGGGGGTTTGCGGAGCCATAATTGCAGCGCCCCTGAAACCTTTGATAGAACCGTCATCCGTGTCCGTGCCATCGTCCATTTCAAGTTGACGTCTCCGTGTACGCGGCGTCTGGATGTGCATCCACTGATGATACGCCTCACTGGGCATTGGAGCTGCCCAAGGTCCTGTCGCCGGAGTAGCATAAGGCGGGGCCATGGGCACCGAAGGCACGGGCTTGGGATGGACACGCCCGGCCGCTAAGGTATTGGAGATGATCAACATAATGACGGCAAGGAAAAAGAAGCCCTACATCACAACCAAGTATTAGCACCAGGTGAGCAGAGAGAATCTGATGTAGGAGCTCATCACTTACCCAGGCCTTGAGATGCATCTCCCCGGAAAACTCGTTGATAATAGATGCAATCTCCTTAATCGTGTTTCTGACCATGAAGATGGCTTCAGGGTCATCCGTCATGCAGTTCTTCCACTCCTCACAGAGCTGCCTAAGCGCCGGCAGATTCTGCACGCATTGATTTTCCTGGTACTGCTTCGTGCACTCGGCAATCTGGTTAAGCCTGGCCGCCTGCGCCGCGCGGTTCGCCGTCATGATGTCAGCAGACACGGCATTGTATCCTTTATAGCCGACAAACATGACCGATCCCACCAGGATCAGGTGCAGAGACAGTCGGATAAGCTTGTGCGCCTGCTCGACGAAGTCGGGGTTCCGCTGCATGGTCGTGAAGAGACCGCCCATCAGCCCCTTGCTCTTAGCCTTCCTCTTCTTGTCTCGTGATCTCGACATTCGTTCATCCGCCAAGCTGCCGTCCGAATCCTCGTCCGAATCGCTGTATCCGCCTCCGTGGCGGCCACGCGAGCTACCGACGTCTCTGTCGTAGTTGCGCTTCTTACGCTTTCGGACAAAATCGACGGCGGAGTGGTCTCTCGACGGACGTGGGATCTCGCCCTTTCCGGGGGCATAGCGCCTAGATTGCAAACCATTCTTGCTGTAGCGGAAGTTCTTGTCAACACGCGACGGTGTAATCGTGGCCATATTGAGGTCGCTCATGCGATCCAGCTCGGGCGTGTCGTTGGCGAGATCCGAGTTCTCCGTGAATGCCGGGCTGGTCTCGGCTCCCGATGCCTCCGACAGGGCAAGCTCGTCAAAGGGTCGGCGCGGTGTGGTGAATGCCGGATTGCGAAAGGGCGGGGCCGCCTGACCGCCTGGTATTCTGGGGGTGAAGAAAGACGATGGAGGGGGTGGCGCTTGTTGTTTCGACGGTGTTGAGGGAAGCGTAGAGCCCGAGAATAGGTTGTTTTGGGATGAGGGCTTCGAGGGGGACGAGAAGACTGCGGAAGAAATCATTGCCAGGTTAGCACTGGGCCTGTCTGCGTTTCCCATGTCCCGCTTTTATTTCGTCTGTCTTTCTTCTCGACTCAATGCTTCAGAGAGGCTACGAGGCGGAAACAAGAGAGGTGACTTACTGCTGTTTTTAGGATTATTTCGAGAAATTTGAGTAAAAGGGCTAGTGACATCAACTGGGCCTGTACCCTGGTATTCCCAATCCATGGGACTCTCGTAAGTTCGCCTATCCATGATGGATTTCTATCACCTTGGAACGACCTTGGGTTTGTTGGGGATTATTTGCATTCATGAATGACTTAGAGTAGATGAAAGGAGGTTCGGTCGGTCGGTGCTTGCCCAGGGTCGACAAAGTCAAGGTAGGCTTGGAGGTAAGATTTGAAGTTGAGCGGGATACATGTGGGTGAACGAGTGGAGGTGTTGACAGATTTGCTGCAAAATCACGGCATCAAATCTAAGGAAGCGTGAGGGCGAAGAGTCCATTAAGGATAAATTATCCCAGTTTAGTTGTCTCGGGCAACCAGATTTCGGCAAAATTGGGTGTAAACAAGCTCAAGGAAGAGCCACCCGCCACCAGCCACTAACCATCAGCCACAGTTTTACAGTGTTCCCATTATTTCTGGAACTGTATACATCACTCTCCAGCCTTCCAGCTTCCAAGTGAAGTCGCTCTTGCATGTATGTACCTTGGTACTTATTCCCTTATTCACATATCAATTTTCACCCATCAGCCACTTTAAACCAACCGTGCAAGCGCCTTCAAGTGAGAAAAGGCAAAGGAAGCTGGTGCAACTGATAAAAGAATTCACCAGCTTGGCTAATCCCACCAACCCTTCCCTTCTATCAATATTCCCAAGTCGAAAGAAGAAGCCACCCTTTATCCTTTCTTTCCTTTTTGGCTTTGAACAGATCCAGTGCACATCTGATCTGGAAAGCCTCTCCTCTCATCCTTGCTCGAAACTTTCTCTTCCAGCCCATCCATCGCCGCTTCGATCCTCCCATCCCGACGTCGACGATTCTATTCTAATTTATCTTTTTCCCCCCGAGTCCTTTCAAAATGTCAGATATCGAATCACCCGCTCGATCTCCCCCTCGAGACGAGGAGGAGCGCGTCCCTCGTGACGACCAAGAAGACGACACCACCCAAGATAACGCCTTAGACAAAGTCGATGTCGATGACGACGATGAGAAAGACGATGACGACAAGGAATCAGAGATCCTCTCTGAACTCGACGAGGATCAGTTCGAAGACTACGATCCCGAGACCGCTAACATCGAGGACCGACCCGTAGAAATCGACGAGGACGTTGCCCGTACCCTCAAGGCCGCGAGACGGCAGCGTTCTGACACCGACAAGTCACGGAAGGTCAAAGAAGGAAGGCGCGAGAAGAAGAAGAGATCCCGCGATGGCGATGCCGACGGTCAGGATGACGAGTCTCGGCCACGCAAAGCTAGGCGGAGCGAAGCTGGCGGTTCCCGCACCGTTTCGAAGAGGCCTTCGCCCGAAGAAGAAGACGAGAATGATTCGCATTTGACGCCGGAGGAGAGGAGGAGACGAGCTCTTGATCGAGCGCTGGAGGCAGCTGTCAAGGGACCTACGAGGCGGAAGAAGAAGAAGGATGAAGCCGTACGTATTTCTCTCAAGGAGGCGGGAGGGAGGGGGATTGGAGATATTGGGGACCTCTATTCCCCTTCCGTCACTTTTTCTTTTATTGCAATTGTGCTAACCCACTTTCTGCTCTTTCTAGGACCTCGACGACCCCATCGATGACCAGATCGCCGACCTTGTCGTAAGGATGGAACGCGCCTGCGAAGCCGACAACACAGCCCGCGAAGCCAACCAGCCCGCCGTCGAAAAGATGACGATCCTTCCCGAAGTAGTCTCCATGCTCAACCGCAACAACGCTCAAGAGGCCGTTCTCGACCCCGATTCGGGCTTTCTCCGCGCCGTGCGCTACTTCCTCGAACCCCTCCATGACGGCAGCCTCCCCTCCTACAACATCCAGCGCGATATCTTCAACCACCTCATCAAGCTGCCCATCGAGAAGGACGCCCTTCTTGGTAGCGGCCTCGGCAAGGTCGTTTTCTTTTACACGAAGTCGAAGAGGCCTGAGCCCAATATCAAGCGGATTGCTGAGAAGCTTGTCGGGGATTGGAGCCGTCCTATTCTCAAGAGGACGGATGATTACAAGAAGCGTCAGCTAGAGACACGCACCTATGATTACCAGTACGTCTCTTCATCCCATTTTCACCCCTCAGCTTGCCGTCGCACTTTTGCATTTCCCAGTTGAATCCATACTAACCTCTCTCTCCCCAACAAAGAGCCGCCAAGCTCGCACAACGCTCCAGCTCCTCCCAATTCTCCCTTTCCCAACGCCCCTCCCAATCCCGCCTCGAAGCCGAACGCGAACGGGCCCTCGCCCCCACGGGCCCTACGAACCGCGCCCGTGTTCCCGAAATGCCTCAGAGCTACACCGTCGCACCCCGCAGCACCTTCGACAAGCAATCATCGAGGGCGTTTGAGCATCGCCCCATTGGTGCGAGCGGTATCGAGGCGTTTAGGAAGATGACGCAGAAGCCCAGGAAGAGGGGTTAAGGAGAGGTGATTGTGAGTTTCGTCTACAGAGGCGAGGTGGCAAGGGCCATGAGAGAGCTGTCTTGCACGGTGTATTCTTTATTTTCCCGTTTGGGGGGCTTTTCGAGGATCATTGCAACTTGAGGTGTTCTTATTTGAGAGACTAGGTGTTTGGGGCATTCCTTTTTTTTTTCTTTTTGTTTTTAAACGCATCACGCTAGAATTTGGCAACAAAACACGACGGAACGGATGGGAAGTTAATAAATAGCCCGTCACTGTATCAAGGGAATGAAAAGAAAATAAAACCGTATCAAGGATATTCGCAATTGACCCTTCATCGCAAAATACGTCTTCTCAAAACCATGCATGATCTAAATAAAAACCCTACCAACGAATCCAGAACCATCTCCGCTGCTATTCTTACCAAACTCGGGGACATTCTCCTATCTCCCAACACGTCATCGCTATCAAGAAGGGAGATAAGAAACAAAAGTCAAGACGCGATTCATCAAGTCATGAAAAGAGGCTGCTACCTTCCCACACAGGGTAAAAAGCCAGTGAACGAGTGACGAGCAAAAGATCCCCTCTTCACCTATGGGCCCCGCCATGGTCTGGTAGCGGCGCACTATAATTTATATTTAGTGCCGTAGCAAGCAGTGGGCTACATCCGGAAAGAGAGAAAGAGGAGAGAGGTCGTGGGGAAAGGTGACGGAGCAGAAAATAGTCCAACTAGACTCCTCGAACCTGGCGGGCTGGGGCTGTTTGTAACGATTCCCTGTCCATTCACTCTCCTTTTCTCTCTCTCTCTGGATGGTTGAGATTAACTCATTATGACCAGAAGCCATCCAACCTCAGTATCCCAAATCCCACCAATTCACCTCTCCAATACCACACGACACGTCTCCATCTAAAAAGAAAAGTAACCAGAGTGTGGGTGTGCGAGTGTTTGTGTTGTGTATATGTGCGTGTGTGTGCGATGGCTGCCGCTGTCTGTATCGCTTCCTCCTCACTTCCTCCTTGATCTAGGTTGGGGGGAGAGTGGATATGGACATGGTGCAATCAAACAAGAAACCGTCCAAAATATCTTCGGCCAACCTATTCTACCTTTGGTTCGTCTCGGTTTATCTCCCCCAACTTTCCTGCTCTCTGTTCTCTTCTCGTCTGAGTGCAAAATGGGCGAGTAGCGGAGGGTGGTAAAATAGAAGAAGGCGAGTGTTGTGAGTAAAATGAGAAAGGCGAAGAGAAAGGAGATATATGAGAGGAGGGAGGGTAGGTAGGTAGGTAGAGGCATCATCAAGAGAGTGATAAAACAAGACGAAAAAAAAAAAAAAAGATAAAAACAAAGTCTATGCGCCTGTCAATCCGTTATGCCGCTTCATTGATCTTCCAAGTCACCATTTATCGCGTACGCGACTCCGACGACCATCCCGGTATACCTTCTCCTCTAGTCCCTACACCAAGTCCTTCAATCTTTATGCCTTTCATTCCGGGGGTATCGTCGAGCCAAGAGTGACTCGCCATCCCTCCCGCATTAGCACGCTTATCAGGCACTAATTCTAGCATTGGGGTGAGGAAATCGGAAATCCTCTTCGCCTCTTCCTCCCGGAAATGGTATTTCTCACGAAGGACGTCGGGTAATGCCCAGTGGCGTAGACGATGAATATTCCTCAGCTCTCCCTTCCGGTTGAAGATCTCCTGCGACCACCTGCCCGAGAGGCACAACGACTTAGGAAACGGCCCGAGGAGCTCGATGATTTGCGCAATATGATCGTCGTCCTTGCCATACTTCGTTCCGGACTGCGGGTCGAACAAGTAATCGCCCGTTATCAGCTCGAACACCTAGAACGATGAAAAGAAGAAAAGGTTAGTCATTCACTCAGCTTCATTATGGCCCATGCCCTTGGGAATAGCTACGGGGACAGCTCTGGTCTCCCTCCGTGTCGGCGAAGACAGTAACACTTACCATTGCGGCCATGCTCCAAACATCAGTGCTGGCACCCCACTTAGCCCCTAGGATAACCTCAGGAGACCGGTACTGTCTCGTCTGAATATCATTGGTGAAATGATGATGGACCCAGCAGGCGTTGCCGAGATCAGCAATCTTCACGCTGATTATATCACAGGAGAACGTTTCTTCTGCCTTCCGTTTCTCGCCGGTGGAGGATGAATTATTCGCCTTATCAAGAGAAATTCCGGATACCTCTCGCGTCAGGAGATCACTGCATGCGAAAATACTAGGTCAGAATTTCGAATCTCACGAACGTTAAGGTGGGAAGTAATGCGGTGGCGGTTTCGCCCAGATGGACAGGCTACGGAAACCAGATTCCGAACTTACGCCGACTTTTCTCGTTGCTTCTGTTTATCTTCCCCATCCTTCTCGTGCTTGGGTGAGCGAGTCTTACTTGTGGAATTGGCTAAATTGCAGCAAACATACATTGGTTAGCAAAGCAGATGCGACACAGGCATCGAGGACCAGAAGATTGGCTCCGCGACAGAGGGACATACCTTCGCTCAGCATATGGCCCAAGCTAGCATGCTGGCCGGTGGCCGGGAACAAGTTGTCGCGGTTAAACGAAGCGTTTAGTGGGGAGGGTAGCGGCTGGCTGCCCGTGATGAGTGTCCGCCTCCGGCGCCGGCCGTTTCTGTTGTTCTCCTTCTCGGTACTCGTCTCGTTCTTGACAACCTTCTTTACGATCTGCTCTACGTCGCCAATCTCGATGAGGACGTTTTCCGGTTTCAGATCAGTGTGGATGATGCCACATTCCCGATGAAGATAGTCAAGACCAAGCAGAACTTGCTTGGTGATCTGCTTCACGAGGGGCATAGGAATGCCACGGTGGTTCCACTTCTTGATAAGCCCGAGAAGATTCTCGCCGAGAACTTCGAAGACCATGCACACGTGGGTGCCATTGGGACCCGTGTGCTCGAAAGAATCGAGTAGGCTGACGACGTGCTTGCGGCCTGGATGATTAGGGTTCGCTTGGACGATTTTGTTCAGCAGCTTAATCTCGTCGATGGCAGTCTCGGTATAATGGGCCGCAGATCGCACGACCTTGAGGGCAACGTGCTTGCCCGTTATATTATCCCTGGATAGCCACACAGTCGAGAAATGGCCCCAACCTAGCTTCCGCACAACCGTATATTTTCCGTCCTTAAAGGACTCACCCACAGTAACGGGGTGGTAACCGCCCTTGCAGTAATCTTGAGAGTCTTCTTCGTCAGCGGTGTTTTCGGTCGCGTCCTCGGCCGAGGAGACGGAGGTCGGGGAGAGATTCATCGCAGCGGATAATTGGTGAGACCTAGAGAAACAAAACGGGTTAGCAAACTATGGTTTGGGAAGATAGGCCAAAGCCCCTTTGTCAAAGAGAGAACAAAAGAAATGGAAATGAAGCGCCCTGCATCTTTGAAAAACAATAAGATAACAGACAAGATGGTCAAGTGTGAGAGGGAGGTTATCTGTTATCTTGAGGTGTGAGTGTAGACAGGCTGTCAGAAGTATAAGCCCGAATTGTGGTGTGAAGATAGAGCAGGTTCGCACTAGAAAAGGCGGGGGGAAGGGCAACAGAGCAGCAGCAGAACTTGAGGACGCTAGATGATCGACCACGATAGTGATAGTGGGCGAAGCAACAACAGAGGCCCCCCAAATTGAGAGAGGAAAAGAAAAATCACAACAACCAAACGAAAACAAATTCAAATACAAAGGAAATCGCGGAACAAGATTTGGGGGGGATTGTAAGCACCTTGCTTTGAGGAATCCCATGGCTGCCGCGCTATTTTGGTTCTTGACGGACGGGATGCGATGCAGCGGACAAGGTCAAAGACCAAAGACAATTTAACTCGAATCCCACACCTTCAGATTAGGGGGGTAAGAGTAAGCGAGAGAGGGAGAAATTGGTCGTGATAGTAAGAGTGACAGTCAATAAGGAGGATGATAGTCACAGCCAGCAAGCGACCAGCTTCACGCGAGATGGTGGTCACAAAGCGCGACGGGTATACTTCGCAGTTTTCTGGCTCAGGAAGAAGGGGACGGACAGGACCCATAGATCGAATGCAACCGGAAAGTGATGTGAGGGTAGAACAATGATGGAATAATGGGATTAGAGTAAAGTGGCGGGCGGGGCGCTGTGTGGTCTAAAAGGAGGAATAGGCTGACGGCCCAAATGCAACGCGGAAACGGATGACCTCGAATTTCTAGGCCAAAGCTTTTGCAGGGAGGCGAAAGAGGCGAGGAGGCGAGGGAGGCGAAGTACAGCGCGGAAAGACCCAACAATAATACGAGAGAAAGAATAGAATCGCGCGAGTGTGGAGGAGATGGGATTCAGAGAAGGCGGTGACAAGGGTGTCCGCGGATCAGTTAAAAAAGACGATAATTACTACTGAGGTAGACAGGGAGGCTCAGAGAAGGTATCCCGAGGCGGGGTGACTGAAAGGTGCAGTGGGGATAGAAAGAGCGGCGAGGAAAACGGCGTCAAATATGTAGCAGCGGCGGTCGCATGTAACAAAGAAAGCCCAAGGAGGGAGGGAGCAGCTTTTACTATGCCGTCGCGACCTTCTCAGTGGCTGGCAATTTTCGGTAACCCCCTTGGAGCACCTTTGACGACCTACATATACATTTTTTCTGCCACTTCCAAGGAATATGTACATGTAGAAGTAGGTAAAGGCAGCAGAGGAAGGGGGCTGGGCTAGATTGGACAGGACCGATGACGAGACTTCACGAAACATCTGATGGCAGCTGAAGGGTTGTGTGAGAGAAAGGCTTGGTGAGTGGAGCTAACAGTTGCGCTGTGCTGCGCTGTGCCTTGCTGCGTCCGCGCTAGAGGTTGCTGTCTAGAGAAAAGAGCTTCCAATTGAGGATTCGTCTCTGAGACGGCACGAGACTGGAGACGTGCGGATACGGGTAGGACCGGGCAGAGTCACTAAACTCTGTCCAAAGGTTTAGAGTTTGATGGGCCCCTTTGCAACGGTACAGTCCACACAAGAGCTTTCCTTCCGAATCCCGGGCCAGGCACTGCACGACAAAAAGGAGAAGATTTGAGCTGCAAAGAAGGCCAACCCTGTTAAGCAAAACCCATGACATGGCGGCACTTGCTAGCGCACATGCATACAAAGAGCCCAGAGGCTACCCCAAGCAGACGCGTTGTCAGAGAAAGGGCCTGTGCTAGACCCTGGTGATATCAAGTGCTGTCCACCCCACCATCCCGCCTGACAATGAAACGTGGTCCCAGGCGACGCAATGGTCGACCATGGGGACTTGGCCGTCGCCTTGATGCATGGTGATGGACTTGTCACCCGTTACTACACGGAAAGGGCCGTCTGGATTTAGGGGGTGAAAAAAAAAAGAAAAAAAAAAAAAAAGGCCGACAACGGGAGAGTGGCGAAAAAGGGGCCTGGGAGCGGGATATTAATTGAAGTGGGAAAAAAAAGGAGACGAGAGAGAGAGAAAACATAAGAAATGCCCTGAAAGTGACGGCAAGCTCGCATATTCTGCACGCACTGCGCAGGTGCAGGAGCCGGAGGTGCCGCCATGTCATAAGCTGGCAGCCGCCACACTGGTAGCTGTCCACCCCGGCGAAATTGAGCCAAGCAGCGTGAGATCCATCAACGACGATACATGTGATATAACCACTCGGATCCCGATGAAAAGTAAGGCGAGAGTGAAAGGGGAAGTCCAAAGCCGAGTGGAGTGTAGCAGACAAGCATGAATATGTATGCAAACGCCAAAAGGTGCAACTGGATGGCTTGCTCGAGGATGGCTCCGGGGTGCTGATGGGCACCACATATCCGGTATGCGAATATGCGACGCGCCTGTCCACAAACAGCCAGGCAAGCGCCGCGGCTGAAGGACTATCAAGGCACGAGTCTTTGGAAAGTGATGAAGGTATGAAAGAGCAAAGAGCACAAGGCAAAGATGAGTGTGGAGCACGCAAAACAAGCTACAGAAAGCAAAGCCGGATGACGCATCCAGGAAAATGGCAACTTACTCGGCAGGTGCTTCGGTCGTGATAATAGGCTTCAAACTATCCTTCTTTCGCTTTTTCGCCATTGCCGCAGCCATCGCCGCGGCGGAACTTCCGTTCGAAGCTCCAGCGCCCAAAGGCGATGGCTTGTACCCCGCAGATTCCCCATCGTGTTGTGTGCCGTTCATGGTGTGTTATCGTTTGACGGAATATGTGCAAAAATGAGAAAAGAGTCGGGGTGCCAGGACCACCTGACACGGAATGGAGAAGCTGATGTTGACGGGTGGTGTAAGAGGACGCGTGGGTGACGAGATTAATATCGCCTCGCCTCCAATTTTCTACGGAGAAAAAAGGGCGTCGGCTAGAGGCTGTATGTATGCTTACGCTCTTGAAGTTCGGAGGTGCTAAAAATGCACTCGCTCACCGTCTCGTTGCTTGATGGTGAATCTATCGTCGATGTCGTGGCTTTCGTGTCGGGCTTCCCGTCGCAGGGGGCCCAAAATTATGAGGCTAAACAATCGAGGCTAAATTAACACGTGCAAGAGGCTTATCACTGCCCTCCTTTTTGAGCTTCTCTTGGGGTTGCGTTGTGTTGTGAATTAGCTTGGTTTCAGAGGTCGGAGCCAGGCGCGCAGGACCGTGACATGGACCAAGGCGGACGCGAGGGAGGAAATCTCGTCGAATGAGCGCCACCGTTGTTAGGTCGAATGTGATAGGGAGATTGTTGCCTGCGATGCGCGTCGTCGAGATAGGAACAAGGTGTCAACGATGGGGCTAGGCGTGAGGTTGGATCGTCGTTGAAATCAAGGACTGGCTGGTACGATTTGAGGATATGAAGGAGTCGGCAATCTCGAAGCTGATGCGAGGCAGGCAAGATGTCCGTCTGGGTGATGCGAGGTGAAAGAAGTTCGGGGCGGAATATGGAGAATGAGGGAGGGGAGAGAAAGAAGCGGTTGGGAAGACTTCAAAGAAGCTGCTCAAAGTCGAAGGTCAACTTGGCGCCGAGTAGATCATGGATTGGAACTTGGGTGGAACAATGAAAGGAAGAAAAATTGCGCTCGGCGGGGTGGGAGGGGCAGTGAAGCTGGCGCTAGAGAGTGGAAGATGATAGGATCCGGGACCGGTCTCAACGCGGCAAGGTGGTTCGCAGAAGCTAGTGGACGAAGCACCACAAGCAATGAGACAAGACAAAATGCGCAATGTTGCGGCTGGGGGGCTCCTTCCAGGACTCCTTCCATGTCAACCATGAAGTACTTCGTAGAGTACGAAGGAACATTGAAGTGCACAAGAAGGAAGGTGGGGCTGGGTCGGGGGAAGGTGCAACTGCAGTTGGTGATCGGCAACCTCGCACTGCAGGTTCGACGAGTATGTTATGGAATAATGGATGGTGAGGCGACAGCGAACTCCTTTAGGCCATTCAGTATTAACAGGAGCAATGCGAATTTGCCATGATGACTGCGACAACCCTCTAGGCTTCGTGGTAAGCATATCCTTTGTCCTAGATACAGTCATGCGACGGCGCTAACTGAGTGATAATGAAACATTTGATACCGTCCATCAGTCTGCAGCTTGAAAACTACGGACTCCGTAGCTCGTGTATTATGCCTGTTGAGAATCGCTGTTCTCAATGGCTTAATGTCCCGGTCCTGAATTCTACGAAATGCTTCTAAGATAGGTTGTGAGCTCCTGTAAGAGACCAAGGAGCTGGATGTATTAGTTGTCACGGCGAAAAGCCGGAGGCTAGGATTGGGATTTGGCCCAATTCCTGCTTTGTATTATTCCCTTCCTATTTCCTGTAGCAAGACACTGCGGTGGAGGAGAGGGGAGCAGCGACACTCTCTATACTTCGTACTTACAAGTACATGCATACCAGTTCGAAGCCGCTAGTCGCGGATTTAATACTTCGCAGGTTTGTAGAGAAGTTCTTGTCAGGGGATTCGATAATAGTTGCTGTGACCGGGTTCTGATGCACAAAAGCCAAGACAGAGAGACAGGGGAAGAATGACAGGGACCAAATATCAGTCGCGGAATAAACGGGCTCGAGCGCACCCTGCTTGTTGTCCCCGGCGATTAATTGAGAGCTTCAGAGCTTGATGGCTGACCTACGCATACTTCGTGTCTCTGGCTTGCAAGTGATGAGGATATTATACGAAATAGTTTTTAATGCTGGGGGAGGTAACTATACTTATGTTAGCCAGCAGCAGGCCCCCAAATTCTAGTGATGGATACTACACATGCCTCTCCGCGATCCAGTGAGCTCCTCGTTCGTAAAGGGAGTTGAGATTCTGCACTGGAGATGAGTAGATAAGACATTGAAATTATGTCAGATCTGATCAATAGATACATGAACATTGTTGCCCAGCTTCGACTCTGAGCGCCAATGTAGCGAGGCTCACTCAACTAAATTCGTAAACTAGTTGACCAGCGATTTCCCCACAAGCGATTGATCCATTTGCAAGAGAGATTGACCAATTTCAGCAGGAGCAAGCAAACGTTAGGAGTGTACCCGTGCACTTCGCACTATTACTAGGTAAAACTTACAAGCCTGCGACGAAGGAGGATTAAAATCCGCTCCTTCCTTCAATGTCCATCCGCGGTACAAAGTACTTGCCCGTCACAACTCTTCCATAACTGCTATGACGCCATAGGCTCCTCGACGATTTTCGTTAACCGCCTCCCCCGCCTTCCTTCGTTTTTAGGGACCAACCATTTCACCACGCGCATAATAAGCTTAGCGTGACGCCTCTCTCAGCCAGCCAGCTATGTAGCTCTTAGGGGCGGCATTCCTCAGATATGGCGTTCTACCTCAGCACTCCGTACTTCGTTGTGTTTCTGAAGAAACCCTGATTCTCATCCTGTGAGAGGGATTGATTATTGGACATTTTGACATTTTCAACCATCATTTGTTTAGTTAGGCTATTCTCACTCTCACTCGACAGGTCGAAGACGAGATGTCTGAGGGAGTATAGACTAATATGGATGCACATGTGGCCAGTAATCGATCACGGGGCAAATCCGGGAACGTATCCAAGGATACTTCGTAATACACGAACAAATGAACGGATATCTTGAGCCTATGTAATTCCCCTGCATTAACAAAAGAGAGAAAAAAGGAGTGTGCAAACTATCTATTATCCGGAATTCTATCATGTGGCCTCACCTGGATCTGTACGTCAAGTCCTTATTGTTTGAACCACGCACGATTATTATTACTTTCCCTTCCGCCGTCGGGCCCCACCTGACCTCGTCTCCTGGGTGGTGGATCCCGCGAGGTCCTCGTCTTCGCCATCCTCCTTCTCGATCTCGACCAGGTCACTCGAATTTTCCTCGCCATCATCAGTGCCTACCGACCGTCTGGCCTCGTCTCTGGCCTTGCTCGCTTCCAGCACCTCGCGAACAAGTTTCTTGCCCTCGTCCATTTCTCCATTCATGGCGCCACAGCCCATGCACTTCCACATACCCACATCGCTCAGTCGCTTCGTACCGGGGGGAGCCTGTCCGTTGACGAGCCGACATGTTTGACAAATAAGCACGATGCGGTTTTTGGCTGCCATCTCATCCTCGCCCAACAACAGATCCATGATGCGATCGTACCAGTGGGGTCCAGCCCCTGGCCCTTCGTACTGGCCATATGATTGGAGAGAAAGAGCAGCTGCCGGCGGCGGAGGTGGCTGGTTGAATGCGTTCGGTGCGAATTCCTCCGTTACGGGGACGGAGCCGGAGAACGGGGCAGGAGGGTGGATGTCGGGGTTTGGGGCGCCAGGGAGCAGGTCGGGTGGTGGTCGGCGTTGAATATTGGCGGTGGGCGGAGGAGGTAGGCCGGTCCGGCCAGGGATGTTCACATGGGGCTGACCACCTAGAACATGTGGCGGCTTCTTTCCGTGTCCCGGCTCTTTACCCTCACCCTCACTGCCCGAGTCCCTGCGCGACCGTGGCCGTTGTTCAGGGCCTCCGTACTTTTCGAGTAACTCCAGTGTAGTGTCGTATTTCGTAGCATCCTTCAACTTCTGGATCGTCTTGGCCCTTTCGGCCTGTTGGTCCTTGAGTTTGGAAGTGAGGGTATCGATTCGGTAGGTATAGTAGCCAGCAAGGGACGTCCGGGTAACGTAAATCCTATCCAACACACCAGTTAGGCCTCGCATAAACTGCGCCAAACCGCGGATATTTCAAAGCAAAAAAATGAGCTGGGAGGCTGGGAGAGGAAGGGTGCTCTTACACCACGGGTCCACCAGCAATACCGGTCCATTCATAAGGTCCCATCTTCTGTGAGCCAACCACGAGAATGATGACGATGCTGTAGACAAGATAGGCGAAGGATAGGTAGAGGGTCCATAGCACCCTCACCCGCCGTGATCGTGCCCGGAGTCCATCGAGGCGAGCTTGCGTGTCTGTGATCTTGGCCGAAAGGGCCGAAAGCGTTTTCTCAAAAGAGGCGGGGGAGGAGTCCTCGCTCTTATAAAAAAGAGAAGAAAAAAAAAAAGGAGAAAATGTTAGCTGGCAAAGCTGGCAGGGGGCTGAGTCTCCTTTGGAAGGGGGCACTGGCATACCCTCCAAGGCCAGAAAGACACCATTATGTAGGTGCGGTTCGTTGTCGCGATGTCAAGGAGACACCATCTGGCCACGAAACCAAAATCTAATCTATTCGGGTTAGATCTCGAGTCGACGAAACCGAGGACCGCTTTCCTTCTCGTTCAGGTCTCCTCGTAGAAGCTGGCGGTGGGTTTTGGCGGAGCTGGCCTAAAAAGGAATGACCATTTTCACCAAGGAGTGAAGAGCGAAACAGGCAAGAGCTCGTGATGCTGGCCTTTGGCGGTGACAAGCACGAGATACATCCCAAAGTACCAACGTCAATGACATTCTCGACTGTGAGCTGTCAAGCTCCAGGAGGATGGTAGAATCCTCCGAGATTCTTCCGGCTAGCTCGATGAGGTACTTCGTAACGAAGCCACATTTCACATGAAGTAATCTATACAATTGAATGAGGACAGTATCTGGCACGCCGCCCCTGGTCCGTGCCCGGTATGGTTGTCACCGAACACCAACAATAACCAGTTGAGGACAGCAGGCAGGGGAATACTTCGTATGGAGTACAAGGAGCCAGGCACTAAATCACAAGGCTGCTCCCTCAATCCATCCAGCTCCTTAACTCTTTAGTTTCATCCTTATGCGCTTCCCTGGAAAATATTCCTTCTTGTTTTTTTTTTTTTCCTCTTTTGCTATAGGAGCCATTGGAATTTTTGGGCGTTTTGAGCTCAGTCTCTGAATTTAATTGGTTATTTTCGTCCTAGTTGGATCGCTTAGGACTGCCTTGACACTGCGCCAGTCCATCCTCAGCAGATAACAGCCGACCTGGCCAGCCGCTGAGGAATGCCCCCCAACATTAATCGATGATTAACGAGTTTTCCTGCCTTGAACTGGGTATAGGCTAGGCCTTTTTTGGCGCATCTTCATTCCTGCGAGCACATTCATTCAAGCCGGTGTCCAGTTGATGCTATAACGACACAATGTTCCAGGTTCGTCTTCCTCTCAAGAGCCAGCCTTGCCCGTCTACCTGCCACCGTCAACCTAACTCCTCTGTCTAGTCCCTTCAGCGCATAAAGGGTGCGATCGATCGCACGATTGCCGAAGAGCAGGCTCGCTCCAAGGAAACCACGTCAGCGACGCCTTCCCGCCAATCCAGCACCTCCTCCCGAGGCGGCAAATCCGAGTCCCCTTCAAAGCGCCCTCGCCCAAAGCAAAGATCTAGCCAGGATGCCTCAAAGACGTCTGGGGAAGGAACGGCGAATCTCGATCCCGCGGTATTCGAGGCCGCTTTTGCTCTTGAGGACAGCGAGGACCCGAGCCGAGCCGGGACCCCGAAACCGCCGAGCGATAGGGACGAGAAGACAAAGACGAGCAGTAGCAACGTGACCGGCGAGAAGCCGGCCGAGAATGGCACGTCGAACCAGAGTGAAGAAAAGAGGAATGGGGCGGATTCTAGCGAAAAAGCAAAGGCAGATGTGGGAGCCGCGGCGGCTGTGGACCTTCCAATGGAGGTCAAGGTCAAGCTCCGGAAATTCGAACGCCTTGAGTCCACATATACTGGTTAGTGAGCTTCGCATTCTGTGTCCCTCTTTTACCCATGTAAAAGGTCGTTCCTTTCGCTAACTTGCCCCTAGAACTTCTCCGCTCTTACCGCATCGCTCACAGTCGCGCAAAATCGGTCGAACCCTTCGAGCGGGCTCTTAAGGAGAACACGCCCTTAGCATCTATTTCTGATCCGGCCGCATTTGTTGAGTATCTGAGCCAGCTGAACCTCAAGGGTGATATGGTAATGGAGGAGCTTAAGCGCGTGTCCGCCGAAAGGGACGAGCTCAAGAAGAAGTCCAGTGCGCAGGAGTCTGAGATCGAAACGTTGAAGTCTGAGTTGGCCGAGGCTAAGAAACGCGCCTCTGTGGAGACTGCGGTACTAGATACAAAGAAAGAAACAAGCCCTGAGCAGGGCGGTGCGAAGGAGAAGAGCGAGTCTAAGCCTGTCCAAAAGACGGCCTCGGGCGACGACGAACCTGAAGGGAAGGGCTCCTCCGAGCTCTTCTCCTTTGACAGTGAGGTTCTGGATGACTCTGCTGCCCGGACACAGGAGATTGAGACCTTGAAGTCAGAAGTCGAGTCTCTCCGTTCGGAGCTCTCTATCGCCAAGGAAACCAGCGCCGATCTCATCGAGAAGCTTGAGAAGACCACGACTGAGCTCAGCCGGACGAGGGATGCTACCGCGGTCAAGAAATCACTGGAGGCTCAGCTGGAAGCGAGGAATGCCGAAATCACGTCCCTTACCGAGCGACTTCACAAGTCCCAGTCCCAACTCAAGGAACTTGAAGGTAAACTTGAAAATGAGAAGGAGTTACAGACTTCGGCTACAAAGGATCTCAAGGCCAAACTTGCTGCGGCGGATTCCCGGTGCAGCCAACTCGAGTCAGAACTAAAGAGCCTAACGGCGACGAAGTCCGTTTTAGAGAGCAAGATTACGGGACTGACGGGCAAGATCGACTTCCTTCAGCAATCTAAGGAGGAGGATGAGAAGAAAGTGGACGAGCTAAACAAGAAGCTGAAGGAGGTTCAGTCAAGCGTACCCAAATCGACAGGCGGCGCTTCTACGGCCGCATCTGAGACTGCGTCGGCTACTCCTAGCGCTCCTTCGGCGTCGTCGAAGAAGAAGAACAAGAAGAAGAAGAAGGGCGGAGCCGCTGCTGCGGGAGGCGCCACTGCTGATTCGCAGCCACCAACCACGTCGGATCTCGCTCCTCCTTCGCCAGTGGAGTCGGTCAACGTCGAGGCACTCGAGTCTGAGATTAGTCGCCTCAAGGAAAACGTCGCTGAAAAGGATGCACAGATTGACAAACTGTCCAAAAAAAGGAAGAACGAAGAAGAGCTGAGAGAGGAGGTCGAGTCGATGCAGGAGAATCTTCTTCTTATAGGGCAAGAGCATGTTGAGGCGAAGGAAAGGATCAAAGCGCTCGAGGCGGAGAAGGCACAGCTGAAGGCGAGGATCACCGAGCTCGAGAAAGAGTCTGAGAATGCCAAGGTCAACTCGAAGGCGCAGGCGGAGCTGGAGGAGCTACAGCAGCAGTACGAGGAACTCAAGGTCAAGACATCTACCCTCCAGACGGACCTCGCAGCGACGCAGCAGCTCGCGCAAAGCCGGTTCAAGGAATTAACTGTTCTCCGGGAGATTCTCCAAAAGGCGCAAACCGAACTCAAGAGCCTCAGACAGGAAGCCGCGGCGCTGAAGACGACAAAGGAGGAGCTGGCGAAGAGGAATATGGAGATTCGCGCGCTGGAAAAGAAGGAGAAGGAAATCAAGATGGAGCTCAACCGCGCGCAACGTCTAGCATCGGACCGGGAGACGGAGATCAAGACACTCAACGAAAAGGTGTCGGCGGAGATGAGCAACAGGGTTCGACTAGAAGACGCGAATCGTGTGGCCGGGCGAGACCTTCGCCGATCGGAAGCCGAGAAGATTGAGATCAGCGCAAGGGAGGAGAAGGCGACGCGCGAGCTCAAGCAGCTGCGCGAACTACAGCCCAAGATGCGTGAGCTGCAGGAGCAAGTGGAGAAGCTGGAACATGCGAAGAAGCTTCTCAAGGAGGAAGCGGACCTCAAGGCGCAGCAGTACACCAGCGCTCAAGGTCTCCTCGATAGCATGCGGGACCAGACGACGGAATTGACGGTGCAGCTGCGAGAGGCGCGGGCGCAGGCGGAGTCGCTCGACGAAGAACTGGTCGAGGTCCAGAGGATGCTCGGCGAACGCACGCGCGAGGGCGAGACGATGAGGCGGCTGCTCGCGGACGTGGACGAGCGAGCGGATACCAAGGTGAGGGACATGCGCAACCGCATGGATGCGGCGGTCGAGGAGCGCGACAGGATGGAAGAGGAGTCCAGCGCGCTGGCGAGACGCAAGACGCGCGAGACGGAAGAGTTGCGGCAGAAGATTCGCGAATTGGAGCGGGACGTCAAGGCTCTCGCCAACGAAAAGGACGAGCTGGAGCACCGCGAACGCGAGTGGAAGAGGCGGCGCGAGGAGCTCGAGAGCGTCGAGCGGAGGGCGGACGCAGAGATCGCCGAAGCGCGCACGGCGGTGTCGGACCTGAAGGTGGCGCTCGACGCGTCGGAGAGGCAAGTAGCCGACGCCGAGAGGCAAAAGGCGGACCTGCGGAAGTTCCTCGAGGAAGCGAGGCAGAAACACGACCGGATAGCGAGGGATCTCAAGATGGTGCAGGCGAAGATGAGTCCCACCGGCGGTGCGGGAGGGCGCAGCTCGATCGACTCTACGAGGTCGGGGACTTCGGTAGGGGGCGCGGCAGGCGGTGCGGCCGACGTCATGTATCTCAAGACGATATTGTTGCAATTCCTTGAGCAGAAGGATAATAGGTTGAGGGCGCAGCTGGTTCCTGTACTGGGGAAACTGCTTAGATTCGACCCGTAAGTTTTATCCCCTCCCTCTCCCTCTCCCGCTCCCGCTCCCCCTTCCCCTTCCCCTTTTTTCCGTAGTGTCGCAGAGGCAGGCCTTCTCGGACTCTCCGATGCTTTTGAAATCACTATCAATCACTTTGCTAACAAGCTTGTTTTCACAGAGCGGATGAGAAGAAGTGGCTCAGTGTAGTGCAGAGGATGGGTTAAGGACTGAGGGCAGCCCTATCTGGGCAATCTAATCAATCTACCGGAACTGTTCACATATTACATATTAAACGATCTGGAGACGACATGGCATTTGAGTTTCCTGATGGGTGGATAGCTGCGAGGAAAACGGTGTACGAATAGACAATGCAATTGACCTCTCTAGACTTGAGACCTGCTCTCTCCACTATCCTCGGTTGAACAACTAGCACAATCAGACCCTGGATCTCTCTCTAGACGTATGCAACCATCCTTTTCAAGCCGGGATAGTCCCTGGTTTTTCTTCTTTCTCCCAGAGCAGCCGGTCTTAAGACATCGATAAACACATGAGAATGGCGAAGGGGTGAGAGCAGATTGCGATGTCAATGGAAGAAAAGTTTCCACTCGCTCTTGGCTGAATTCTGTCTTCTGATTTTTATTCCTGGTTTTTAATTTTGCAGATTCGTATCTGTTTTCGTCCCTTCCTTTTTCGGATGGGTAAACTTGCCTTAGTCCTGGCATAAATGACATCATGGGTCTGGCTGGGTCTGGCCCATTCCCGAACCCGCCGGGGCGGATAGGCACGGAAGGAAAATCCGGGGGGATCAAATGCTCCTGCAATGTTCCTTGTTCTGGGCTTGCAAGTCACTGTACCTCTCGATGTAGTTAGGTACCACGACCACGTGTTTTTCTGCTCGGGAAATGGGGACCCGTAATGTCCAATTTCCATTTTCAATTAAACTCGGGAAATTCATCGAAGAAGATGGAAAAATGATGAAAAAGGAGTTTTTGGGATTGCTAAGGACAGTACGAAGTACAAGTGCGCCATTTACTCTCGCTCGTGACAATTGAACGAAGCCCAATCTAGAGAAGGAGAAGAATCACCCTCTCCACACGTCCATCTCATCCGCCGTCATCGAACATTCAACCCGGCCTCGGCCCGCTTCCCACTAATGCACCCCGATAACGATGAACTGTCCTTGTCTCGACGAAAACGAAACAGAGTGGGCGCGGACCCGGAGCATGCTTCAAGTTAGCGAAATGCTACTCGGCCCGTGCGTAAAACTGCCGGGGCCGGTTCCAAAACTGGCCCTGAAGATCCTCGCAAGTGGAAAAGTAGCATCCCGCTCATCCTGTTGTCGATCTCTCTCCCAAGGGGGAAAAAGGAGAAGAAGTCACAAAACGGGACAAAAAAGACAAGAAGAAATCAAAACCAAAAAGACAGAAAAAGAAAACAAGGTTTAAGGATATACTTACAAAACGCGTACTCGTATCCCACACCTAGCAAGGCCAATCCCTGTAAGGAGAGAGACACCTATGTAGAATGGGAAGGGGGGGAGTGTATATTCTCAATGGAGGAAAGGGGCAGGTCCCATGGAGATACTCACGTCGTACCAAACAGCTAGGCAGCACCATGAGTCACCGAAAACAACGATTAACACATGCTGATATACCCCAAACAAGGACGAACCGCAGCTTCGGGCGAATCCAATGGGAATCTGTATCTCCCAAGGCAACGCGTCGCGAACAGTCGAGTCTGGAATCGCGCGTCAATCTACTCGAAACACCAATGGCAAGACACTCGGCATATGAATGGCAGGCTCCATAAAGTTGTGGACATAGGAACCTCGGAACCGACGAAGCACGTCGTTCAAGGCGCTCACCAAACTACTAGAGCAATGATATGCACGGAGACGGATACGACAACCCAACGCGGAAAAATAAAAAAGTAGTATCGGTCTCGATTCAACAGTAAACTAGATTCGGATGCTGAGGCCCCCCCATATCATGTGCTTTGCATTCGCTGAATGGGCCAGACAAGACATCCTCCATGTGTAAACCAATCCAGATGGTGTAGAAAAAGAAAAAAAATGAAAAAGATATTGATTCCCGCCTGCCTCGCAGGTGAAATTCTGCTCTGCAGGACCCGTCCAGACCAGGCGGGCCATCGAATAAGAAGTAGATAGTGAACAAAGAAAAATGTTGCCCTGCTGACAAGCAGCTAGATCAAGTAGCCCAGGGGGATATATCATGAACAAAATCAATGAAAAACACCGCCCAACATGCAGGTAACCTCATAATAAAGCCTTCCCGGCCAGTGGAAATTTCCAAAACCCTGGAAAACAGAACACATATCAAGCGCTGACTGACACCGTCTCAAACCCAAATGCAACCAAGAGAAGAAAAAAAGAAGCGTGCGCGCATGGCATCCTGAGCCTCATCCTCATCGTAGATTTGAATCCAAAGCCAAGCCGAATTAGTCCTGTCCCTGACCTGAAATCCCCTTGAATATACCTCAAGACCCCATTACTGCCGTCAGGGATGACATGTACTCCCAATTGTCTCACGTTAGGAAGCCATTGCGCGTCGCAAAATCTCCAAGGCGTGTTGAAGCCGGGGCTACTGTAAAAGGTTCGATATGCCAGAAATCCGAGAAAATAGAAAAAATAAATCAAAGATCCAATAAATTCCAAACTGAGCTCCGGGTATCATTGTGTTGTGTCTGGTGAACAAGCCGATGAAAGTGAATAAGAATCCGAAAATCCGTGATGTGACGTTATTCCGATGCTGCATGCCGTGTATCAAAAAATAACAAAAGTATGGCCGACCGTGACAAAGGAAAAAGATGGTGGTAATAGAAAGGCCTAGATGGAACCCGAATCACTCGTGTGAAATCTGACATCTGACCACGAACTTTGAGTACGTCGCCTGGTACTCGTACTCGCTAGTAGTCGCCGTTATGTAATGTAGGCGAGAAGAAAGAATACCGCCCAGCGCGCCAAGGCCCAAAATGAAAGGAAGAGGAGCGGAGAATAAGTTGCTCAAGAGTAGAGAGAGAGAAGAGGAGGGAAGGGGGAAAAAAAGTGAGTGGTGAGTGGCGTAGCATATCAATCTGTCGCCGTTCATTGGGAAAGGGTGTGAGAGAGTCTTGAAGAGACCCTCGACCATCACGAAGCGCCGACTCGAAGCAGGAATCATAAATCATGATCCATTCACATGTACTGCCGAACCCAGCCAATGTCGAGCCATCCAACCTTCTCAAACGCCGTCCAGAGTTTAGACGCCTTGTTGACATCAATCTTGCATGCCTGCTGAGCGTCCGTCTTGCGGAACTCTTTGCCGACACGAGCGCACTCGAGGCGTCGAATAAAGATGCGCCGCTTGCTTGTCAAGTACGTGGCGCAGTCGAGGCGGAGGTTGGCCGCAAGCGAAATCTCGTCGGGATGAAGCAGTTTCGCATTGGGGTCGTTCGAAAGATCAATGGGCGCCCCCTTCCAGTCAACCTTGAGGCAGTTGGGCTTGTTGGGCAGTGACGACAGCGGAGGACAGTAGTTTGGCAGCGAGTTGAAATCCTTGTCTTCCCTGTTGGGAGCCACGATGCGCCGCTGCGGCTCCGGCGTCGAGCTCACGCGGATGGTCTGCTTGATTTGGGGTCCACCGTTCTGGCGGATAGGCCGAGGAGCTCCGGATGTCGGGGTCTTTGCGACCCGATACTGGCGCGCCGGTCGCGGGGCCTTGATGGGCTGCACCTCGGGGGTCGAGGGCGCAGCTGCTACCTTGGCAGGGAGAATCGCCGCGTACTTGGCCGGCCTGACCATAGGGGCGGGCCGCTCCTTCCGTTTGGCACCAGCCTTCCTATCGGCCACAAGCAACTCCCTTTCCTTCCTCAGCCAGCCCATGGGGTTGTTGAGATAGTTTTTCATGACCTGAGACTTGAAGTATAGGGCAAGTTCATAGTCTTCTCGCCTAGGCGGGGCGGCGGCGGTAAAGAGATTGGGATGTCGGAACGCCACATGCTCATCAACGAGTCGGCGATGCTCGGAGACATGGTCGGTCACAAAGAGAGGCGCCGCCGGACTAGACTCTTGCGAAGGCGGGAAGAGAATGGGATCTTTTACCGGGCTGTCGTCCGTTGCGGCGGGCGTTGGCGCGGCGGGCGATGGTGAAGCGGCATTGATATTATCGTGAATGGGAATCTCCGGCGATACGGGCGGGGACATGGGTGGCCTAGGCCCAAGCGCAAGTGGAAGTCGGGATTGTGCCGGAGGGGAATTTTGTCCATCGCATTGAGAGAAGTTGTCGTAGGGCATTGGTTCGGGTGGCGACATCAGGTTGCTAATGTCGAACGGCTTCTTCTTATTTATATCCATTGTCGCGGTATTGGATGGAAGCGAAGATGAAGAGGAAGAAGGACTATGAGTAGCGCCGGATACGTTGGCGAAGAGCGAAGTCTGCTGAGTGAGATGCAATGCCTCTGGCATTGGCGTCATGGGCGCAGACGAAGAAGGACGTGGAAGAATGTAGGGGGATGATGGGAGTGGCGTAGATTGGTGCCGTCGCTGCATGGAGTGTGTCCAAGTCGATGAAGGTTGAGATGATGAAGATGAGGCAGACTGGAGAATTGGCCGATCTGACGAGTTGTGAATAGGATGCAGTGGTTAGCGGAAGCGGGAGCGGAAGATGTATGGTTTGCCCAGATGCCCGGGTACCCGACTTAATATATAAGTTGGCCTGCGCCCAAGTCTAAGTGTGACTGCCTGACGGGGTGGTGTTGACGTGTAAGACGGCCGGCGGAGGGAATTGGCTGTTAGCGTTGGCTGTTTTGGAGCCAAGGGGGGGGGTGGCTGTTAGGTAGTGGGTGGTGGGAGGTGGGCAGTGTTCAAATGTTCCCACGAATTTAGCGTTTAGTGGGGGCCTATTGGCGACATCAAAGAACACAAATAACACGGCCTGGGGCTTGGGATTGCGTGGCGAATAACAGGCAGCAATTGAAGAAGGGCGAGCGACGACGTTGCTCCTCTCGTGCCTTCGCCCTATTTCCGTCTCAATTGCGCAACGGTCGGAATTTTCGGCGATTGGTAACCAAAATTACCACGTCCGATCTAGAAAATTACCTCGTCTTCGAGCCCACAATTGGCGGGCACAATGAGGGAATCCGGTGACACTCAATGGGTCGATGGACCGTGTTGAGCGGATTAGATTAGTGCTGGCGTGGGGTGTTAAATGGTGACGTTGGGCTTGCG